GGCGTGGGTGTGGTGGTGTGTGCGGGTGCGGGTACGGGTGCGGGTGCGGGTGGGTGAATGTGGGTGTGGAGTGTGGGTGTGGGCGTGTGGGTGTGGATGTGTGGTTGTCGGTGTGGCTGTGGTGTGAATATCAGATAAAAGTACGCTTACACCCACACCCACACCCTCTTATTCATTGACATTGCTTATTTTCCTTTGAAATCACTTCTGTTTCAGGTTAGCTTCGAATATTAATGGAGTAGGGTGCGATCAAAGCGCCGTAGAACGCTAAATATCCCTTATGTCATTGTATCAACAAAAGTATGATTAACAGTAATTTCAAACATGCAAGCCTTTCTCAGCAATACGAATACGTTGCTCATTGACACGCTTTCAATATAAAAATCCTAATGTTTAACTGTTTTTCTTCTTTAGAAAATGCTGACAACAGCACATTACTTTGACTGCACAGCATGACTTGGACCTTCCGAAAACCGCTTGAACTTCTGAGGGAAACTGAGGGTTTAGTCGTCAGTTAACATTTCTGTCTTCTAGAGTAACGCATGAGTGCAGTTTTGTGTGTGAGGTGGGTGTGGGTGATGATCTTATATCCGCGAACACCCCACATCTACGCTCATCCTAAAAAATTAGTATTGCCGATTGGAAGATTTTTCGACATGTGACGTGATTTTCGTCGAAAGCACCCAGGTCGAAATAGCTATGTCGGATCCTGTCGGATAGGTTTCAAATCCGTTGAGATACGGCTAATCGGATTCGGTCGGTTACTCTTTGTCGGATTCCGATGCTATCCACTGTTTTCCTTTGATATCCGCCGGTCGGATTCATCGAGTTCCGACTAGATTCATATATTCGGAACTGGTCATATCCGATCTCAAGATCTGTTCGCTTCCGATGGGATTCCGGGAAATCCGATGTCAAGAAATGGCCGGATTTTGCGGATTCAAATGACACCGGATTCCATGATAAAACCGATCAATCACTGGTATCGGAACTTGTCGGATTATATAAGAATGCAGAATACCCAGGCCGATCTCACACCATCGGATCCGATGGAAATTAGTCGGAAGTTGTCGGATGTTGGAAAGTGTCGGATTTTCAGAGTTCCGACAAGATCCCGGCCACTTCCGACACTTTCCGACATCCGACAACTTCCTGTCGGAATCCGATACCAAGGATTCCGACGAATTGCCATTGGATTCGATAAAATTCGATAATTTTTCCCATAGGATCCGACGAGATCCGACTATCGGATTGTTCGTTCTGGGTATCCAGTATTATTTTCCACGTAGTCGGATTCATGAATTAGAATATATTCTGACAGATCAATCAGCTAATCATCTAATAAGATATTTCTCTTTTTACAAATTTCCAGCAACAAAATCAAAAATCTGGAAATCCGATTTCGTCCAGATTTCATTCACCGTTTTGTTCTACAGATATCGATCTATATAAGGAAGTCTTTACTTTAATATTTCGAATGAATTTCCAAAGTGTTGCTAAGATTAATTTTACTTCAAATGATTTGTTTTCCTTATACAATTATGTTTTCCACGCAATTGGATTCATGAATTAGAATATATTCTGACAGATCAATCAACTAATTAATTTATTTATTAAATATTCCTATTTTTACAAAATTCCAACAACAAAATCAAAAATCTGGAAATCCGATTTTGTCCAGATTTCATTCACCGTTTTGTTTTACAGATATCGATCTATATAAGAAACTCTCTACTTTAATATTTTGAATGAATTTCCAAAGTGTTGCTCAGATTAATTTTATTTCAAATGATTTTTTTTCCTATTACAATTATGTTTTTCACGCAATCGGATTCTTGAATAAGATTATATTCTGACGGATCAATGAGCTAATCAATTAATTAGATATTCCTCTTTTTACAAATTTCGACAAGCAAAATCAAAAATCTGGAAATCGGATTTCGTCCAGATTTCATTCACCGTTTTGTTTTACAGGTATCGATCTATATAAGGAAGTCTCTACTTTAATATTTTGAATAAATTTCCAAAGTGTTGCTTAGATTAATTTTACTTCAAATGATTTATTTCCTTATACAATTATGTTTTCCACACAGCGGATTCATGAATTAGTATATATTCTGACAGATCAATCAACTAATTAATTAATTTATTAGATATTCCTATTTTTACAAAATTCCAACAACAAAATCAAAAATCTGGAACTCCGATTTTGTCCAGATTTCATTCACCGTTTTGTTTTGCAGGTGTCGATCTATATAAGGAACTCTCGACTTTCATATATCAAGTGAATTCTGCCATTTTGTATAACTAAGTTCTATATATTAGGAAGAATCTTAGTACAAGCATTGTTCAATTTTAAGAAGGATCGTAGTATATACATTGTTAGATTCTAGGAATAATCGCAGTTGAAACAGTTGAAATGTTTTAGACTCTTGATGACATCCTGATGCAATCTTTAGAAATTTTGACAACATCCTGGTGAAATCTGTTCAAAATGTTGATTCAATCTTTGGAAAATCTTTAGAATTCTTGATGAAATCCTTGGGAAATCTTCGTGAAATCTTCAGAAATCTCGACGAAATCCTTCAGAAATTTTTATAAATCTTGATGAAATCCTTAGGAAATCTTCAGAAATCTGGATGAAATCCTTGGGAAATCTTCATAAATCTTGATGAAATCTTTGCGAAATCTTCATAAATCTCGATGAAATCTTTGCGAAATCTTCATAAATCTCGATGAAATCTTTGTGAAATCTTCAGAAATCTCGACGAAATCCTTGAGAAATCTTTATAAATCTTGATGAAATCCTTGGGAAATCTTCAGAAATCTCGATGAGATGCTGGGGAAATCTTTAGAAGTCTCGATGAAATCCTTGAGAAATCTTTAGAAATCTTGAGGAAAATTGGATGAAATTGTCAGAAATCTCTAGTAAATCTTTGGAAATTTTGAGAATGCTAGAATGAAATCTGTCTGAAATGTTGATTGAATCCTTGTGCAATTGAAACAGATTCAGCCAACTTCTGATGAAATCCGACTGTATTCTGTCGGAGCCTTACGTTATCAGGCGTTTCTCTGTGAAAGGATCCTGGTGGTTACGGCATTATCTGACAAACAGTTCCGACAGGATCAGATCGGATCCTTTCCGACGTAATCCGGTCCGGAATCCGTTAGTTAGGAATCCTGTGAAATGCGGTTGGGTTCCGATCGGATTTAGTTGGGAACCCGACGAATTCCGGTCTGATCCGACATCGGATCCGATAGTTTCCGGTAGGATCTACAGGTCGGATTGAATCACCTGGGCATGACCAGAATAAGATTTCAAAACATTATTCGGACAAAATACGCACATTTCAGGTGGGTGTGGAGTGTGGATATGAGTGTGAGTGTGGATGTGGGTGTGCCTGTCAGCGTGGGTGAAGTGAAGACTCACACCCACACCCTTACTCACATCGACATCCATACCTGCAACCATAGCCACAGCCACAGCCACACCCAGTTGAGCTATGCTATCCCTACTTAGAAAGCATTCCATCTCAAAACAACCATACTCACAAAATGACATTGAGATGGATACAATCAACGTACTGTGTGTCGCATACATTTATCCACTTCTATTCTTGTTTAAATAAAGCTGATGTTCCTTTGTAAATGCTCTGTTTTTTTAATAAACATTTGTTAGAATTATGATAGAAAAAAAACGCGTCGTGGTAGCTATTATTCTTTACACACATATGTGTTATTGAATTTCTACTTCAAAAATCTTTTTATATATGTTCGATGTTTTTTCTTTTACCATGAATTATATATCAAGATGTACGTAGAATTTATGAAAGCCATCTGAAGAGACCTTTAGTCGGGTCGAAACGTATCATAGTAGCTGTTATTCTTTACACCCACATCCACACCCTTAAAATGATTTCTTATCAAATTTTGACCGAAGATAGCTGCGATGTTTGGTTTCTAAATGAGAAATATAAAGATCACAAAATGCAGGCAATTTTCAATTTATCACTGTCAATATGTATGAATTAATATAGAACTTTTTAAAATTGACGATAAAACCTAATGAAGAGCAGAATAGATCCGTACAAGGATATTGTACATATTATTACAGTGCACAAAATAGTTTGTACAAGTTCTAATTGGAATCATTATGTTATTCTAACCATTAACTTATTTATTTTCTTCAATCACACTTAATTGAGATGGCAAGCAAGCACATAAATTATTCTTTCTAGTATTATGATTTATTTTCAAAAAGATTGAACAAAAAAAGGAATGAAGTTATTTTTATATTTTGGAAAGTTTTTTCATATATTCACTTTCTTTTGATGATCCTGTAAAACGTTTAAATAACAAATCTTTGTTGAAATAATTAACTAATCCTGGTCGTTCTTTCATCACTTGTTCAAATTTCATTAATGCTTGACATTCTTCTTCATTTGGTATTAATTTCTGACAATAATCACGTGCTATTGTAAATGCTTCAAATACAAAATAATCAGCAATCGTTGCTTCTAATTGATCATAATAAAATGATGTTGAACTTTTTTTAAGTAAATTATTTAATGCTTTAAGATCACTTGGAATCTTTTTTGTTAAACGATAATTTTGATCCTTTCGATCTTGAAAATTAACACCATTAAATATGCATATTAAGACATTTGATATTACATCAATATATGCACATGACACAACACCATTAATATAAATTTCTAAAAGATCTTTGTCATTAATGGATGAAGTTATTTTATCATATAAATCAAATTTTCGTGCTAAGAAATGTCCTAAAAAAATTGAATTATTAAGAGTAAGCTTAGAATATTTTTTGAACAAACCTATTGTTAAAGTTTGACCAAACGTATGTGTATCATTCCAATGCAGTACAGGTAAATTATGAAATGGACCAGAGATTGCTTCATCATTCTTATGTTGTAACCATGATTCAGATGCTTTTTCAAGTAATTCAAAATCTTCTTTATAATCAACATTTTTATATGTATATGCAATATCTTCAAGTATATAACGAACTGCTTGAATACGCCCACGACAATTCCAATAGTATAGTCGAAATTTCATATAGTCTGATCGTGTTGTTGACATAGTGTCTATCACAAATATAAAACGAAGAATGTTAGTACTGAATAAGAACGCATATTACTTCTTTTATGAATGTTGTTTTAAGAAAAATAAAAAGAATACTGATAAAGAATGGCACGATATCTTTAACCCTATTCTGTGTAGCTATGTCATTTATAGACTCATGAATTAGATAAAACTTTAACTAACTGATCATTTTTCTTTTTAATTGAAATAAATATTAATTGTTGCAATATTACACAAATATTCTTCATCCTTGACTGTGTTCTTGTCTGATTCGAATACTCATCAATGTGAAATTTGTATATGTTTATTTGTTTCTACATAAATCTGATCCTTGAATACCTTCCTTTCAAATTGTTACACTCTATTTTCCTTTTTTTTATTACTGATCCTAGTAGATCTATTTATACAGTAAAAAGAAGTTCCATACACGAATAAACTCTTTCAATGTCGAACTGCTGAAATTTGACCGCTACAAGTTTAACAGTAAAATCAAATTTTGATGTCACCTGATTCGTTTTTTTTATATAATGTCGATTGTGAACCATGTAGAACATATATAATAGACAAGATTAGATTGCTTTTCTTTATACGAATGCTGTGCGAAGAGAGAAAGAAAAAGAATGTATTCGATATACTTTTGGAGAACTAATTAAATCATTGTAAGTTTCGTAAGAGACAAAGATCAAGTTTCGAGATTAACACTAGGCTAAACTCATGTTTTTCAAAAGCTATTTAATTCAAAATCCGAAAAATTTTATTGAAATATATGTCACAGGCAAATTTGAATTTCAGGCAAAATTGTTTTTTTTATGGCGCTTCTATCAAAGGGTATGAGTGTGGGGTGTGGGTGGGTGTGGGCGTGGGTGTGGGTGTGGGTGTGGGTGGGGTGTGGCTGTAGCTGTGGGTGTGGGGTGTGGGTATGGGTGTGAGTGTGAGAGCTGTTGGTCTTATAGAGCACAAAATCAACACTTACCTACACCCACACGCCCACCCTTACCCCCACACTCACACACACACCCACACCCACATCCACCCCACACCCACGCCCATACCCACCCAAAAACGACCATTATTATATGTCTTTTATTATTGTGTTGCAAAACAAGATGAAAAGCTTAGGAAAGTTGGACTATAGGAATATGTTTTGTACTTATGAAAAAGAATGATATTTGATATCATTTTGGAAATAAAATATCAAGACCCACTTCTTCAATGCTTTACTTCAGAGCTGGTTGTTGCCTTGATCCTAGATGAAAAGTAGAGAAAAGAACACTAAAATGATTTTCATTATTAATCAAGCATACATTTGTTGCAACTTGAAAAGATTCAGTAAGAGTTTCATCAATGTTGACTGATATTTGGTTGTCAGTTTTGTCAATTAATGAAGTTTCTACGCCAAAATGATCTTGATGATTATAGTTGTTAATTTCATGCAATGGCTAAACCATAATGAATGTCAAAAAGCAGATTTGACCTGCACAATCTATATCGGTATAACTTACTTGATGTGTTTCGGCAAATCCACGAGAACGATCAGCGAACTTTTGTTCTACTCGCCACTGTTCACGATCGTTAGCAAAATTCTTACTTCCCTTGTTGTCATCAAATACCGATAATGATCGCCGATATCGTGGTTGCAAATATGGGATTCCAATCGGATTTTGATTCGACCAAGAACCAGGGTATTGATTCGACCAAGAACCAGGGTATTGATTTGACCAAGAACCAGGGTATTGATTTGCCAAAGGACCAGGGTATTGATTTG